TCATACAACATCTTCTTATATCTATATAATAACAAAATATGTTCTATATCAGGTTCCAACTACATGTATAACATATTTTACTCTTTAAACACTAAATGAGTTATTTGAATATTATGATATTAAATACAAACCAATTTGAAAAATATCACATATACACATTCCAGGTTAGATAAATATTGTCACGGTTGAAATAGCTGTGTGTTCAAAAGAAATACTCAACGAATCTATAATGTAACTAAATAACCCCAAATGTCAACATGTTTAAGAATGAGTCTGGTAAATAGCCATTGATATTTAAGTATGTGACGACATTTTTATGAGAAAAAAAACCATGTAACTAATACAGACAAAAAATTAATAATGTATTAAGGTAAAAAAAACTATCCTTTCCGTCATTACATTCTAAACGAATTGATTTGCAGTCGTTACCGTGTTTAAACACTATGAGTCACTTTCTTTCTTTAGAAAAAAAAAACTGACTCGTTGGTTGTTGAAGTTTACGGGTCTTAGGTAGTCACTGTTGTCGCTGTTTTCGCTTGACCAATAATTATCGACGACTTCATATCTTAGCGGATTGGAAAAGGATTGTAAACCATCTGTATCATTTAAGGACTTAGGAACTGTCTCGATATCTGGTTGCGCAGTTGATGTCACATTTGTTTCTGTAAGACTCGTATCTCCGTTTCTGCGCATAAGATCACTGAAACATATTTTGTGTCTGTCCTAGAAGAAGCTTATTCATGAAATGGATCCAGATATTCTGAATTTGGATTATACATATTTGAAGTAAGCTCTCTCTGTTCATTAATGGTATCATATATGGCTGATACTGTTGATACTTGCTTGTCAGGTTCTTCGAATGGTTTTCCAGTTCTTGGAGGAGAGTTGCGCCGTCGACGCCAGCATACTAGTATCAAAACTACAGTACCAATTATAACAACAACAACACCAATAATTGGATAAATGATTATCTCTTTTGAAGTGACACCTGTTGATTCAAAATTAAATGTATTACGTTGAATTTCCGCGATCAAGTCAAACCGACTCATCCTACAACAAATGACACGCCGGAATATCAACTATTTATTTTTACTTTTGTACAAGATTATTGTTATTTTACAAGACATGAAATGCATTTTTATCCTGTTTTAGAAAAGGTTATTTTTTTCAGTCAAGATTATTCATTTCCAAAATCCTACCTCTCCCAAAATATAATATCCCATACTAACCCAGTAGTAGACTAAAGGCAATCATCATACACATCAATTACTTGAACATGTCATCCCAGATTTAATTGGATCACGCATACATTGACTAGACTGATTGACTAGGAGCTGAAACAATTGCACAGTATGTGATAAAAATGGCCAATGTGGGGTGATATTGCTTAAAATGCACTAATCCTGTGTTGTAAGGAAATCTTAACAGTTCTGTCTTAACTTTTGTTATGGTACTGTAGTCTGCATAATAAGGACATACATGGAACTTTCAAATTACACCATATTAATATAATGGTTTTCAGTAGGAACCGATCATTCTTTCTTTTTTTTCGGGAGGGGGGGGGGGGGGGTGGTGGGGGGAGGGCGAGATGATCACTCAGAATAAAAATTAACAAAGGTTTTGAAAGATTGAAGACATTGTGTTTTCTAATCAATAATAAAGACCAAATAATACAACGTGTAATTATTCCTCCTTTGTGGTTCACTGTGTTCATTGCTGAAACCCCGACAGATTGAATTATGTTGATTTCAAAAATGCATGAGTGGCTTTTGTTTCTGATCCACTTGTTATGATTGATATATACAGGTAGGTTGCATTAATCGTATTTACTATTTTATTGTCTTTTAATTAACCTAATGCTGAAATAAATTTGCTCATTTGGTGTAAATCAGATATATACCAAAGAAGAATGAAGCTAAAAAGTAACTACAATTTCTAGTCATTTTTTCTCGTCCATACTTTTCTACCTTAGATAATTGTTATATACTAATCGAATCTACTTTTTTTATCAAATGTAAGATTCAGTTGAACAGAGAGAGTTGTAAAATCAAATCTAAGTATAAATGACATACAGTCAATTGAAATAGTTTAATACTTAGCTCCTATAATTTTACAGGCTTAATTATTGGTGTCGCAAACAAAGTTTAAATTGTTAGATTTGAATATACAATTCTAGTGCAATTATTTTGTATCAACGGTTCTGGTTGGTTGACAATCAGCGGAAAATTATATATCGCCCTGTCTGTAACTAAGCGAAGCCGACATTTCTGATTCAGGAATGTATTTACATGTAATTTCTCCAACAATAAGCACAAAACTTCCATTTTGCGCCTGGAATTTTTTTTTAATTTATTTTATGACATTCTCAGGTAGGTAGTCAGAAAACGCCCGGTGTTTATCTTTGACACGGTAAGCATACTTATAACGTCACCTAGTTTAGTTGCCAAGGAAGATAAGATTATTTGTGGAATTTTCGTTTAATGAAAATTTTACACAGAAATAATGACTAAAATTGAATGATTTGTTTATTTTGCATTAGAATAGAGGTAACTGTATTGTATTTGAAGCTTTGTGAACGTGCATCGATAGTTTTACTGTGGCAAATATCTGTTCACATGTCTCCGCTATGCGTCAACAGGTAAACTCAATTTGCGACAGTAAAACTATACATGGACGTCCGCAAAGCTTCAAATACTATACAGGTCTCTCATGAATGAACATACGAATTTGATATATAGCAATAAATATATTTACTTGCAAAATCTAACGACGTCGTTTCTGCTTTTAAGGTTTTAGCTCCTTCTGTTGATGTTTCGATTACTTTTTCTAGTTAAATTATAAATACATCAGTCAAGGTATTAAATCATATAAAAGACAACGTTTATATGTTATGTAAAACAATGATATGCATAGAATTTTCTATTTAAGCATTTTGAATTTAATGTATATAGTACATGTTGAAGATTCATTCGCAATTCAAATACATGTGAAAATATAAACAGACGACTGTCAGGAAAGTTCTATTAGTAAACGAGTATACGGAAAAATGTGACGATACATGTACATCAATTTTATTATAAAGTCTTTTCGAATATGTTTTGTTTATTTTAGACAGTAGTGCTAGTCATGTAATCTAAACAATTTTAATTGTTTCAGTTAACGATTTGTGAAATTTTATTTCTCAATTCGTAGATTTTGTCTTTTGACGTACATGTACTCACCATTAGTAATTTTGTCAATTTGTTTTGGACATAAAGCTAGTGTTATGCCTTTTTTGTATATCTAATAATTAATTTATTTATTAGTTGATTTATTCTTGTACTAATTCATAATGAGTTTACATGAAGATGTCACCGAAATGTGGGTTGATGTACGTCTTCGAATTTTGAAATCAAATGTTACTGCACATGCTTCATCTCATTGTCAGTCTTTGGATGTAAAAATATACCAATGGCACTTCAAATTTTACCCCTAAATTAACGAATGCCTAAAAACGTTGGAGTAAAACAGAACGATCTTCAAGTATATACTGAATATATCCGACATTGGAAAAATTGACAATGAAAGTCTGGAACGAAACCCATATAAAAATTTACAATTGAAAATGAGCTCACAATTTTCAATCACAACTGCAGCTTATAGGTGTAATGGAATTTATACAAACATCATCGATTAAATGCGCGATATGTGAAAATTACCGTGAGTATGTAACGACAGCCGCAAAACTTCAAAAACTGAAAAACTAAAACTCTTATGTACAAGTTTTAGGAAATTAAATAAAAGCATTTAATATGTTTTGAACCACGTTTGAATGGACAAAAGTGTTGATAAAATATGCTCTACAGTGATACCTTAACACGATTCTTAATATTGAATTTAATAACTATATAAGCTGTACAGTCTAACTTAGACAAAGTTTTCTTTATAATCAAAGATATGACGTTTTACCGACATTTAAAAGAAATATTACCATATATTGCTATACATATTACCATGTGCCGAGTACGTGTTCCTTAATATGATACCTACCAAGTCCCGACTAGAGGTTTACGAGGAAATGATGTATGCAGTAATACTTTTGCATCATCAAAGCTAATGGGCCTGATTATTACAACCATAACTTGCTATCAATTTTGCAAGAGGTATTTGCAACCTTTGTTAAAGTTGGGAATGGAAATGGAGAATGTGTCAAAGAGACAACAACTCGACCAAAAAAGCAGTAAACAACCGAAAGCCACCAATGGGTCTTCAACACAGCGAGAAAATTCCGCACTCGGAGGCGTGCTTCAGCTTGCCCCTTAACAAAAATGTGTACTAGTTCAGTGAAAATGGACGTAACACTTAACTCCAAAACACATAAATTAACTAAAATTATAACAAAATACAAAACTAACAAAGGCTAGGGCTCCAGACTTGAGACAGGCGCAAAAATGCGGCGGGGTTAAACATGTTTTGTGAGATCTCAACCCTCCCCCTATACCTCTAGCCAATGTAGAATAAACAAACACACAGCAATACGCACAGTAAAACTCAGTTTATAAGAAGTCCGAGTCCGATTTCAGAATAGTTAACAAAAGAAACTAAGAAAAATGACAATGATACATATATTAACAAAGGACTACTAGCAGTTACTGACATGCCAGCTCCAGACCTCAATTTAACTGATTGAAAGATTAGGTCTTCATCATAAGAAATTCAAGCACAATCCCGCCCGTTAATGGTTTAGTATCATACTATCATTAAATATATGAGACGAAAATAACCCGTATCATGCCAAAAACTGGTTTTAGAATAAATGTGCTTATTTCCGATGCAAAGACCCTATGAGTGAATCAATATTAATACCAAAATATGCCATCTTTAATGATTTGACAACAGTGTCGTAACTATATCCCTTAGCACGGTTTCTCTGTTGAGTTTGTTTAAGTACAAAACTATGTATCAATCGAACAGTATTTTTAGTATGCCAATTGAGAATAATCAATGTAACTAACACTTACCATAAAAATTTATTGTTACTTCAATATTTCCTATCCTTGCAGTATCATTTTGATGTGTAACCACGCATGAATAAATACCATCATCACTTTGAGATACATCGTTTATTGTGTATGTTAGGTCATTGTTCATTCTTTCCATACAAAATAGCATTTGGGATAACATATTGCGAAGCAAGTTACTGTAAAGCGACTTCCTTTTGCAACATTGACTGATTCAGAGTCTGTTGAAAGTCTAATAGATTCAGGACCATCTGAAACATCACAAAACAGTTAATAGAATATCTATGATGTTGTTTGTTTTAATCTTTATTTTGTTAATCTCAAAATTAGACATGATATTGCATGTACCTGCATGTCGTTTTGAACAAGTTACGAAAAAAGAGAGATGTCATAACTCATGTTGATTCAGATACATTTGAATTATTTGATAAACAAAACAAAATACAATGGCTATAAACAAGAATACAAGACGTCAAAGTTTAGATTATTCTTTATCTTTATCCCAATAAAGCATGTGTACTTGCTAAAAAATAAACAGAAATCACCAAGAAGTAGAATGACGAAAACATATTCATATGCAGTACATTAATCGTTTATTTTTATTTAAACAGCTTCTACTTACAGTACGGATCTAAACTAACTGTATTGCTCGAGGCAGAGACTTTTCCTCTATCGTCAGTAACAGCACATGTCACATCCTTTCCTTTATCAGACTTCGTAATTGGATTAATGCTTAATGTGTCGCCTTGTTTAATGCGTAATGTGTCGCCTTGTTTAATGCCGACTACAGACCAGATGTATTGCAAATTGCTAGGAAGATACATTGGATGTCGTTTTACTGCAGATGAGCATTTAAATACACTTGTACTTCCAACAAACTGTTGTTTATCATATGTCAAATATGGAGTCTTAGGGCGCTCTGAAATTCAACGATAGAAAATCTAGTATTGTCGAATATGCATGGGCAAATGTTGATTCGAAACTGTATTGCTTAATAACCATTTTTAACAAACAATGTAATTCTAAAATAATAAAAATACCCAACTCCATGAAACATTCAAACTGGAAAATCTCTTGTCAAATAGCAAAATCAAAAGCTCAAACATATATAACGAATGGAAAACAATTGTCATATTCCTGACTAGGTACAGACAGACGTCAAAGGTTATTTCAACAACTCTATGAAATAGAATTGCATATACATGTTTGCAGGCACAATATCATTTATATATGTTTTAATTAGGGATGTGAACGAGTACTTGAATACTCGAATATCACTTGGTAAAATACAGTATCGAAAAAATAAATGATATTCAACTACGTAGTAATCAGTTTCCTGTTAATACATTGTATCCTTTTACTCATAAAAATGATTTTCTTAGGAACGCCCCTCAGAGAATTAATGATGGATCATTAATTAATCATTGTTAAAAAAATTAGTTCGTGTGTTTGTGCTAAATTGTCGTTTAAATTGCCTCCATAACCTTGCGGTTTGAAATACTAACGAATAACCGAGTTCTTTAAAGTTGCGGGATACACATAAGAGCATCTTTCCTATATAGACCGACACTTTTGATTAAACGGATCTTAATGCAAAAAATCGTCGCACGCTGAAGTGACTCTTAATTAATTGCGTAAATAGTGTAACGTCTTATCATCAAATCTTTCTATTTTTTCTTTTCAAAATGTAACTGTTGTTTTATCTGGTTTGACTTTGTTGTCATTTATGTGCAATACGTGCCTATTAAATTATTGATTTAATTATTGGTTTAACTTCTTATTGAGTACATATAGTAAATGCTATCACTTATTGTATATAACTCCTATTATCAAAGTCCTAAAACTACTTAGATTACTAAAATATAGTTATAGTAATCTCAGTCTAGTTCGTGATAGAAATTTATGTAACGTCCATTAGACAACAAACCCTTAATGTAAAATATGCATAATTTATTTCCATTGTGTAGTTTTTTTTGGGTCAGCGTTTCCTCGATTATGGTTTGGTTAAACCAACGAGTATTAGAAAGTGTTTCCTTATTGAGTTGACATTCCTAGTTTTAATGGATACCAACTTTAGTAATATTTGAATTTATAAATAATGTGAAACATAGAGAAATAATAGAAGTGTACTAAACTATAGTTATGTATGTATAAACAAATGAGTTCAGATGTTTTGTAGACAAAGAATTTCAGTAGAAACCACATAAATGTATGTACCTGTAATCACTAATAAGGCACATCCATCAATTACTGTACTGTCGGAAGCTGTTGCAGACTTGTATAACCCAGCGTCTGAAATTAAAACGTCTTGTAATATAAACTGAATGCTCAAGCCATTTTTATTCAGATACCTGTATTTCTGGGAATTATCTATTGGAATTTCATTCACAATTTTTTTTTTCTGTGTGTCTACGAGACTATCAAAAATTACATCAATACTTGATCGATCTGTTGGAGAGGTCCAAGTTATGTTTATGTTTGTACTCAGGTCAGAATAAACCATGTTCTCTAGAACATAAAAAACCATTTACCAAAATAAAAAAAAGCAGATTGGTCGATGTAGTATAAGTTAATGTTTTCATATTTTGAAAATACATGTTATTGTGTAAATTTAAAACTTTTGCCTACTTCTAAGATGTGAAATATAATTTCATTGTTCTTAGTGACATTTATAGTCTCTTTTTTCTGTGGAGACAATAATAAGCGTTTTCATACTGTCGAACATAAGTTAAAAAACAGTACTAAAGATTTAAATCTTTTTCACATGTAAAAAAATATTATACATAGTAACAATCATTTGTATACAGAAAGCCAGTGACATCGATTTAAGGCTAATTTTTCCAAGACTACTTTCACTACTTGTCCTGTGTGTCAAATATCATGTGTATGAGTATCGGCTATATTATGTAACACTTGTACATTTAGTTTACCCAATTATTCAACACACATGTTGCCCAAAATATATGTTCTACGATAGGGGACCATCCATGTATACTGTATTGACATCGCAGTTTTATTTTATATCGATGACATTTCTGAAGCTGAATTGCTGTAATCGCATTGGTAGCCTCTGGATAGTATGAACTTCTGGTATAAACTATAGAATCATTGTTATCATACAGTTTGAGTTCCGTCCGTACTATATAATCTAAAGTAACTGAAAAATTCCATGAGATTATGACACTCGTAGAACGTACGTCTATAATTATATATTTAGGAGATCTTGCAAAATTACATTTACAAAAGGTACGAGGTTATGAAGCACGCAAATTAAAAATGTAAATGCTGTATAGCTCGTTTAAGCTAAATTCAGCTTTTGGTAAACGAAGGTTTGTGTAAAAATAACACGATTAAGAAAAATCCATCAAATCGGCGTTTTTTCAAAGAATGTATACACTGAATACAAACATGTGTGGCGTAATCCTTTTCGTCCACATAAAATTGTTACAGATGTAGATGCAACCTGTACTGCTTTTATTTTAATCTTTGCAATGTCAAACATATATACTGCAGAACATCACAGATAAAAATAATATTCATGGCCTTACAAAAACTTACTAGTGGTTGCATCCACGTATAGTGAATAGCATTGTTTTTTTTTCCATACATAATTTGGTTTTGGTATCCGATTTGTGGACTTACTTAGCTCATTCGAAAGGATTGATATCTAAATTATAAATGGCAAATATTTTCTTCGTGTTCAGTATCAATAGAAAAAAAAGAATGTCTGAATCAATAAGACTCTACAAATAATGTTGCCGTGAACGGCAATAGGAAAGGCTTAAAAAAATGAAAACAACACGTTATGAATTTCATGCGCCAGAAACGCTTTTCTAGATTTATCTTCATCAAGAACGCTAAAAGCCGAACATTTGAAATATATTGATGTATAAGAACGAAACAGTTGAAGAGCTACATGACCAAAAAGGATATTAAAAATAGCCATCTAAGGTAAAATTTGCCTGAGTTGATATGTGTGTTGATTCGTAACTGTGATATTGTCGCATTCCATACATATCGTATTACTCATTTCAATATTTTAAACTATTAGTTCATGATTTTAAGTTTGATTTCAAAAATCATTTGATAAATTTGTATTTAAGTTACTTTGGTGGTTTACTTCTATGTCCACCAAGACGTTATTAGTTTGTCTTCAATATTTGAGTTTAATTAATCCCTATATATCGTCGTAATCTTTTTTAACTAACTTGACCTTTTTTACGCATATTGTTTGTGTGCTCAATTTTGCATTGTCACATGTCATGCAAATTCACATTGACGAGTTGTACGAAGAGGGATACCCAAGATGATGCATTGAATTAAGTTACATTTCACAATTCTAAACGAACATGGTACAACTGAACGAGTAACTACTAAATATGCAAAAAGAATGTACGTCTCTGTATTGTTTGTTTCAAAATTAATGTTAAAAAATTATTTGATCAAGCTCCATTGATTTTGCTTGCATTCATATGTTACATAATATTGCGTCGCTGCTTGACTGATCGTGTTCTCAACCGCCTTTGAGAATTTTATTATATTGAATTTCGAATTAACATTATTCGTTTGACACAACTGACAATTAAAAATCATTCCAAAGTGACTTAATAGTACTCTTATTTCGGTGCCTTATGTCTATTGTTTTATATTTAGCCTCGTGTCAATTTTTTTAGTTAAGCCACTTGCAATTGATGTTTTCCAGTTTGTTCTAATAATGTTATATTGTTGAACCACTGTCCCAGGTTATGGGGAGGGTTGTGCGCCCACAAACCTGTTTAACACCGCCAAATTCTGTATGTGCCTGCCTCAAGTCAGGAGCCTATAGCACATATGTTGTCGTTGGTTCATGTATGTCATATTTGTTTTTCGTATATTTGTTATAAATTAGGTCATTGGTTTTCTCTTTTGAATTGTTTATCACTTTTTATGTCAGGCTTTTTATAGCTGACTATATGTTTTTTTTTTATTGTTCAAGGCCATACAGTGGCCTATAATTGCTAACTACCACCTCATTTTAAATCTGGTTGATAGTTGTCTCATTTGCAATCATACAACATCTCCTCATTTTTATATAAATCAAGGAAATATAGAGGTGGCTGAACTTCACAATTATTTTATATAACAACATCATAAGTAGTACATGAAGGCACTGTCGACAGCCCTGAGATGAGATGTGGCCGAGAAACATCCTCTAGTTTGATAATCTGTTTATCGCTATTTTGCATATGACGTCATCGTTGATGTTTACATTAACAACGGCACGTTCGCCCTTAAATCCTCAAGCGAGTAGCATGATATGACAAATTATCACAAAAAAAGTTCATATGTAGTACAACGTTAGGGTACGCAAATTGCACCTATTTTTACAGTATTTTCACTTGCATTTATTTATGTCCCAGACAAAAGTTTCCATTCTGTTTTTATCTTGTAGATGTATCCTTTATTTACTATTATATAGTTCACCCATTTATTTTGAATCCATATTGAATTATAGAAAATTGGTTTGAACCCAACTCTAAAAGATCTATGATTTTGTAATGAGGAGTACCCTAATTGCATTCATGCTTAGATTCACATCCGTAAAAATCGAATAACCGATGTTTTTTTTTATTTTTTCAAATATGTAAAATACTTTGACAATAATCCATGCTTACTATTCATTGTTTACGAAATAGATGCCTGTAACATATTTATATTTCTCATTTTTAAAAGTTGACCTGTTGTGGACATCGCCTGGCGACGTTTCCGTAGATTTTCCTTTTTCCAGGGAATACTTCATCTGTTGATATACACTCTGAATGTTTTGTGTATATGTACATATATGTAGCTATGTTGAAAGACGTGCATATTATTAAATAATAAAAACGCAAATTGCTAAGTATCTAAGAAAGCTTGTAAGATTTCCGCAGCTGTGTTTGGTACATGGGTGCAATTTGGATGCTGTTACGTTACACGAATGAGAACATAATCGATAGAAATTTAATATTTATCACATTCTTGCAATGAAATGTGAACTGGCGAATGGTACTCATCCAAAAGAATCACAGACGAAACGATCAAACAATAATCAAATAAGTACTAGTTAATAAAGCCTAAGTTAACAAATATAAAGAACCTTTACAGTCTAACACAGGATAGCGCAATATCCAAGATTATAATTACCATATTTTAGTGCTGTTTCTTCCTTCAAAATATATTCGTCTTCTATGGGCACAGTTTCGTGATTGAAGTCAGTATTTTTGCTCCAGTGAGATAACATCAAAAGGAAAACACGGAAAACAAAAGCGTTCATTCATTTTTCAAATGATTTATTTTTATTAAATTTTCCATTTCCTTTTTGGATTTTTCTTAAACTAGCTTGGCAAGAAATATCATTTAAACAAAGATAACAGACCAATATTTCAAAAATATGCGTTAAATTGCTATTGTCGACATAACTTTAATTTGTTGTTGATATACAATAATATGCAACATTGAAGACATTAAATAAGACTTGACGCGTCTGGAACAAAACATGTATGCCCTGCAACTTTACAAAATCGTCAAATTTGAATTTTGAATTATTTCTCTTTCGTAATCATTGAAATAATTGACATTTACGAAAAAGATACCAAACGAAATATTCAATCTTAAAGCATTCATCAGAATATATTTATAAATATTTAATAATATAAGATAAAAAGATACCCTATTATGTAATGAATTAAAAATAGGTACGAACAGCAGACATTAGTTTAGTTATCGTAAATGCAAAAAGTAGTGTTCAAAATGGTAAAAAGTGATTTTTGTGAAAAATATGGAACTTAATAGATAAACATGTACACCAATAATATACCCGCATGGCATTTAAAGCAACGTTAGAACGAAAGTACACAAGCAGCATATTTAGAAAATATGACTGAAAAGCTACTTATTTAAATTTTTGAATGTATTACAGAAAAGCAACAAGCAAATAGCCATACAAGATATATAAATACATTTGATACAATAACAAAACACTGGCTTTAACATTGTTTAACATAGTATTTTAACAAACTTAATCAGTTTTAGTCGTTTTAATAATTTTATGGCAAAAATATGTGCATACTTCAACTAAATGAGAACGTGTGCTTAAAATAAAAATTCGTTTCCGTATTGGTGAAAGTGCATACTAGTTTTTTCCCCATTTGAATTGTTTACTTTTTGTCTTGCAAGAGTCTTTTCTACAATATAGCTTACTACACGGTATGGGTTTTTGTTATTGTACGGTAATAAAAACGGTGAGCTAAAGTTGCTACCATCCACATCCTTTGGTATTTGGTTGAAAGTTGTCTCATGGTCAATCATAAAACATCTCTTTTTTTATATTAATTTCAATTACAAACAGCACAAATACTAGACTACTTAATGCAATTTCAGTAATTGCTACATACTAATAAACTGTTAAATTTTAAATGCGATTTTTTTTAGTTTAGTGACACCTGTGATCCCATTATTTTAGGTCACATGTATTCATGTCCAAACGCAAAGTGAATTGAAAAACATAAGCTTAAAGTTGTATAGGCTTCTTCGAAAAATAAATGTTTTTTAATGGTATCTATTAAAGAAGTTTAAACGCATAGTTGCTTGCGGATAATGCTTAATGTTGTATGTCTTAATTTAAGTGTGTTCCAACGCACTCGCACAAGGTTTTCTCGTTGTAAGATTTCAAGATACCAGAACAGTTGTCCGATCCTTTGTAAGGTTAACGATTGTGTTCTATTCCCTATTTTGACTAAGCTTGCATTCACATGGCGGGGGATGCATTTATTGCAGCTTACGCACCAATTCTTGCTTATTGGAGTACATCAGATTCACGCAGTTTATTTTTTGTTATGTTGATTTTTATCTTCATATTCGATTTATGAGATTTGATCATCGATGCACTTGTGATGCCCAAA